AAAGGATAATGTTGATATTAAAGAAATGATGAAATGCTATTATAGATATATAATTACATGCATATTCTGCAAGGACTCTTCCAATGATTGCCTCATCTAGCATAAGATACCTACCAACAGTGTCCCATCATACAAATTCTCCACTAAATTCCAGACACCCTTGCTTGTTACTTTTGGAACATAATTTTTGCAATTACAACATAAACAAGCAAAGAAATTTGGAAGAGGGGAAGAAAAAGAGAAAATTAAGGATCATGTCAGAAGAGAGGGTCGTACTTAAGAACAGCAAGATGCAGCTCGAGATCCTTCTGCTGGTCTGTCAACTAGAACCATTCCAGCTGGATTTTGAGTAGGTTGAGCCCTAGGTAACCTCTTTGCTGTAAACATCACAACAAATTTTAGCCCCATTTGAGCCACATTATTTTAAAAATGAGAATGAAAAATATTGCCATTATAGCCCCCACACAAGAGATAAAAAGTCAAATATGATAGCTTGATGTGATGGATAACGATCATATTTTTCATTTTAATGAGCAAATAATGGAGCTCAAACAGGGCTTTAATACAATTATACAAAAAAATATTAACACTTATAATAAACATGCAAGCACGCCAAGAGAATTTCACATATAAACATCAAGTGATGAACGCTTCAGATTATATTAGATGTGTGAATTATGAACCTAGAAAATTTAGCCATTAGAGTTCATTCCACGGATATTTGAAAGAAACTGGAAAAAAATGAAAAACATCTGAAAATTCTAAGCAACGAGTTCAAAAGTGCAAAAGTCGATTGCAATTATGTTTGAAGGAACACTGCTCTGACATTGTGCATAGCTTAAAATCAAGACATGAATACTAAAGGAATTCTGGTTCTTATCAAACACCAGTGACATGTCAAGCTAAGATGCCATAAAAAATAGATTCAAAATCTTGGCATGGAGAACACTATATCTGTGGTAGCCGTAGACTATGAGGACAGATAAATGCAAACAAAAACTTATGAACCAAGAGCTTTTGGTTTTTCTTATGGACTTGTTGAACAAAATGAAAATTGTAGTTGTCAAGCCCCCCATCTCTAACTACAAACCATCACGTTTTGTTGTTTATTCAATAAAGTAAACATAGCGTTGGTAAATGGTCATTATTCATTTGAAGATAAAAGATATGTTCGGTATCCATTAAGCACAACGTTTTAGAATATGCAAAGCAAAGAGAAGAAAAGAAACGCACCTATCTCATAGAATATTTCATTGACATTAATAGCAGTTTTCGCTGATGTCTCCATGAAAAAAAGACCATTTTCCTCTGCATACAAACGTGCTTCCTGAAACATATATGCATGAAAAACATAAGCATAAAACTCCAATGGCATTCTTTAAAAAAGAAATCAATAATAGATAAGTACCTTATAAATATGTTTTTTAGTTTTAAGTGATAGAAAAAAAGGTAGAAAATTCATTCCCAAAACAGATAACCACAGCAATGGATGAAAAGCATCATTTGGACAGGAAGCGGAGAATGACTTTGATTTGGAAAACAAGGGTAACAATACAAATCAAGACAGCTAATACTTACTTCTGCAGTCACCTTCCTCTTATCTTCAAGATCAGCTTTATTCCCAGCAAGAGCCATGACCATGTTAGGATTACCTGCAAAACCCACAAATTGACACGCAACCGCATATAAAAATAAATACATATTAATAATAATGGGACTATTTCTTCCTCTCACTCATTCATTCTTGGAATAACAATCTTGTATAACAGAATTTTCTTTGTAATTATTGGGATGATAAGAACTATATATTGAATTCGTAAAACTAATCTCGTTTTCTTAATAAAATATCAGAGGCTAAGCACCTTGCTTTAGGAGTTCTTGCACCCACTTCTTAGCCCGG